TATTTATTATAACCAGAGGAAACATTCATGTATATCCCAATATTACCCTCAATTTTGACCACAAAAAATCAATTTTGACTTTTTTTTGGAGCATAATTTAATATGCTCCAATTTCATCCTTAACTTAATTTAATCTCAATTTGACCCCAAATTTCACAAATTACTCAATTTTGACCCAAAACTTTTTTTTTTCAAAAAAAAATATTTTGGCGCCGGATTTCGGCGTTGACTTTTCAAAAAAAAATTTCTTTCTTGCGGATTTTTTCGCCGGTTTCCGGCGTTGACTTTTTTTTTTTTGTTTTTTGCTTTTTTTACTTTTCTTTTCTTCCGGATTTTTTCGCCGGTTTCCGGCGGTCTACGGCGTTAACTTTTTTTAGTGTTTTTTTAAGGTTTTTTTTTGTTTGGTTTGTTTTGTTTTTCCACGTCCGCCGCTAAACGTTGACCGTAATTGTGCTGTCACTGACAGTAAATTAACGCAATTATACTGTCAATGATAGTTAATTAACGTAGTTGTATTGCCGTTGACATTACATTTATGTAATTGTGCTGCCAATGAAAGTAAATTAATGTAATATTATTATTTTTTATTTTTTATTATTTTTTTTATTTTGTTTGATTTGTTGACAAGTCAACGTAATTATATTATTGTCGTTGACAGTAAAATAACTGTAAACACAATAATATTACTGTCAACAACATCAATATTATTATTTTTTTTTGTTTTTGTTTTGTTTGAGTTATTCACGGAGTAACGTAATAATATTACTGTCTATTATTGTAATATTACTGTAAACACAATAATATTACTGTGGTTGACGGTAATATTACTGTTGTTATAGTAATATTGATGTCAACCACATCAATATTGTTATTTTGTTTGGATTTTTTGTTTGTTTGAGTTATTCACGGAGTAACGTAACAATATTACTGTCTATTATTGTAATATTAATGTGGTTGACGGTAATATTACTGTTGTTATAGTAATATTACTGTCACTCACAGTAATATTAATTCTTTTGTTTTTTTTAATTATGTTTACATTTGTTGAACGGTCAACATAGTAATATTACTTTTATTACACAATAATAATGAGTTTTGTTGTGTTAATATTAATGTGCTAGAGATTAATATAGCAATCACAACAATATTGCTGTTTAAACGGAAGAAAAAAAAAAGTTGAAAAGTCAACGCCGGAATCCGGCGGGGAAAAAAAGTTTTGGGTCAAAATATAATAATTTGTGAAATTTGGGGTCAAATTGAAGTTAAATTAAGTTAAGGATGAAATAGGAGCATATTAAAGTATGAGGGGTTATTTTACTCCTTTACAAAAATCTGGAGCATGTGTGGACTTATTGGTAAAGGAGATTTTTGTCTGGATCTCTTTATTAATAAGTACCCATTGATGAGCTTATTTGTAATATGCGCTAAAAAAAAAAGTTGCTAGTTTTTAAAAAATGGGCTAGTGGCAAAATGACCCATCACATGGGACTTAAATGGGGATAATTACACTTTTGGTCCCTCATGTTTGGCCCGATTTCACTTTTGGTCCCCCTTGTTTCAAAGTGAACAAAGTTCACCTCCAAGTCTCAATTTTAAACACTTTTGGTCCCTGCCGTTAAATTTCCGTTAGCAACTAACGGAAAACACTATTTTGGGGTGAAAATTGAAATTTTAAATTTTTTTGGGGCTGAAAAATAATTACAAATTAAAAATAGACTACTTATAAATTTTAATAATAATAAAAAAAAAAAGAAATTAACCAAACAAATTATTTTTTATTATACTTAATATTATTATAATTATACTATTTATAATTAAATTTTTAATAATAAAAAAATTAACTAAACAAATTATTTTTAATCATACTTAATATTATTTTTAATTATACTACTTATGATAAAAAAAAACTAATAACAAAAAAATTAACTAACTAAACAAATTATTTTTTATTATACTTAATATTATTATAATTATACAACTTATAATTAAATTTATAATGATAATTTTTTTTTTTGCCAAAAAGATTTTATTTTTCCACTATGATAAAACGTTTTGGGGCCTCGTTGGTAGTAAAAACTCCGAAGCGACCCTATCGATTCTTTTGTTTTTAATAATAAAAAAGAAATTAATTAAATAAATGCTTGTGAATTATACTTAATATAGTTTTAATTATACTACTTGTGATTATTTTTTTAATAATAAAAAAAGTAATTAATAAAATTTCATTATACTTAATATTATTAAAAATTTAATTATAAGTAATCTTTTTTCAATTTATAATTATTTTTCAGCCCAAAAAAAATTTAAAATTTCAATTTTCACCCCAAAATAGTGTTTTCCGTTAGTTGCTAACGGAAATTTAACGGCAGGGACCAAAAGTGAAATCGGACCAAACATGAGGGACCAAAATTGTAATTATCCCGACTTAAATGCCTTTTGGTCCAAAAAAAAAAAACAGTCTATCAGTTAAACTCATCCCCATGTCTTTAGTCTAAAATACCCTCCATAATAGAATTCCTATCAATTCCACCCATTATGCTCTAACTTCCTTAATATTACACATTGACCCCGGATTTAAACAAATATATCACATTAACCCCAATTTTTTTTTTTTCAGAAAATAAATTTTTTTCTGAAATGTTTTTTTTCTGGCCAGATTCCGGCGTTGACTTATTATTTTTTTTTTTGAAAACTTTTTTTTTCATGAAATTTTTTTCCGGGCGGTCAACCACCGTTGACCGCCGGTCGCCGGCGTTGACTTTTTTTTTAAATTTTTTTTTTCTTCGAAAAAAAATATTTTAATTATTATTACTGTCTTGGCTACTAAATTACTGTCTCAGACAGTAATATTACTGTTTGTGACATTAATATTATGAATATTATTTTCCCGAACAGTAATATTATTAATATTATTGTCTAAGACAGTTCAATTACTGTTGGAGACAGTAATTTAGCATCCAAGGCAGTAATATTAATTAAAATAATTATTTTAAGAAAAAAAAGGTCAATTAACAGTTAACTTACTGTCTCCGACAGTTAAATAACTGCTGGAAACAGTAATTTAACAACGAATACAGTAATATTACTTAAAAATATTCTTTTTAAGAATAAAAAAGTCAATTAACAGTTAAATTACTGTCTCCGACAGTTTAATAACTGCTGGATATAGTAATTTAGCAGCCAAGATAGTAATATTAATTAAAATATTTTTGAAGAAAAAAAAAAGTCAATTAACAGTTAAATTACTGTTTCCGACAGTTAAATAACTGCCGGATATAGTAATTTAGCAGCCAAGATAGTAATATTAATTAAAATATTTTTTTTAAGAAAAAACAAAATTATTATGTAAAAAAAAAAAAAAAGTCAACGCCGGAGACCCGGCGGTTAACGGCAGTTGACCGGCCGGAAAAAAATTTCAGGAAAAAAAAAAGTCAACGCCGGTCAACGGCGGCCACCAGCGGTCTCCGGTGGTGGCGGGTCAAAATTGGGGTCAAAATTGAAATTAGGGTTAAAATTGGTTAATTGATGAAATTGGGCTAAATTGGGGTGTAAATCATGAAATTGGAGTTGAATTGGGTTTCAATGAATCGGGGGTAATTTTGGTATATATAAAATGATTTTCGTTATTTTCAAATAAGTTTGAATGAGCTGGATTTATTTGAAAGACAAAAAAGTTGGATGTCCCTCTTTTGATTAAGTGCCCTTGTCATGGGCGTATTTGCCATTTACCCTTTAAAAATTAAGATTTTTCTTAAAAAAAATTACCAAACACCTTTTGACAAGTTATAAGTTTTTAAACATCTTATAAGATGTTTTTAAGAGCTTATAAACTTAACCAAATATGCTTTAATTTGAGTCATTTGACTCATATAGGGGTCTAAATAGTAATAGAATTTCCGATCCGAAAATATCCAATTTTGGAACCATATTTTTCATTCCAAATTCGAAGTTCCGATTTCCAAATTTTCCGATTTTTTTTGGATCGGAATTGAAATGTTATATAAAATTACCGGAAATTCCGATTTTCGATCCGATTTTGGTTTATTTCTATGGTTTTTCAAAATATTGTATATAATTTTATGATACATTTTGTAATCCTATAATATAACTTATGTTATATTTTATATAAAAATATAAATAGAAGGGTCAAGTAAATTAAAACCTTAGAAAAGTATTAATTGGTATCAAAAACTTTATGTTGCATTTTTCTTTATAAGAAAGTATATGTTTCAATTTGTTGTTCCTACATGTGTTTTTGTTTATTGCATTTTGTCGAACTATCTTTTGATTTTTGTTACAATTTCATGCAAAAATTCAAAGAAGATGGAAGAATATTGTGAAAATTTCCACTGTATCCGAATTTGGAACAATAAATTATAAACTAATGTAATTTCTGAAATTTCCAAAATTCCGCCGGTTACGAGGCATTCTGAAATTGGAATGAATTTTTTTTGCATTCCGATATTTTTGGAACAAAAATTGGAACCCATTTTTTACTTCCGAAAAAAATGAAATTTTCCGGAAAAGTCATTTCCGATCAATTCCGTCCGATTTCCACACCTAGACTAATCTTATTTTGACAACCAAAAGAGGTATAAGAACTAGAGTAAATTACGAAACCCACCCAAACTTAGGCTAAATAATGAAAATCACCCCACCTATTCGTAATTAACAAAAAACCTCTGAGGTTTGTTCCCGTCTTACACCAACCTCTTACAGTGTGACTTTTCACGGATTTTTTATTTTTATTCCAAGGAATAGAATTTACACAATTTCCAATATTTTATTTTATTTCTCACCTATTTAACAAAAGGTATAATAGATTATTAATATTTTTTGTTAAAAAAACTTGATCAACAATTAATCAGAGGGGGTTTTTGGTAATTACAAATAGGTGGGGGTGTTTTCATTATTTAGCCTAAGTTCAGGGGTTTTTTCATTATTTACCTAAGAACTAAAAACTTAAACCTGTGATTAATTTAGATTGAGCCAACGACAGCTGTGAAGCTGAGTTAACAAAATTCAAATTTCAGAGCGTGAATCAGTTATCTGTTATTCTGCATCCGTCAATTTTCAGAGCGTAAACCAGTTCTCTGTTATTGTGTTCTTCCCTCTCTGAGTTTAGGGATTAGGTTTTCGTCAATTTTGCGATTTGAAAAGAGATTGAGAGGCTGGGTTAGCAAAATTCAAATTTCAGAGCGTGAATCAGTTATCTGTAAGTCTGCATCCGTCAATTTTCAGAGCGTAAACCATTTCCCTGTTATTGTGTTCTTCCCTCTCTGAGTTTAGGGATTAGGTTTTCGTCAATTTTGCGATTTGAAAAGAGATTGAGGAGGTGGGTTAACAAAATTCAAATTTCTGAGCGTAAATCAGTTCTGTTAGTCTGCATCCGTCAATTTTCAAAGTGTAAACCAGTTCCCTGTTACTGTGTTCTTCCGTCTCTGAATTTAGGGATTAGGTTTTCGTTAATTTTGCGATTTGAAAAGAGATTGAGAAGGTGGGTTAACAAAATTCAAATTTCTGAGCGTAAATCAGTTATCTGTTAGTCTGCATCCGTCAATTTTCAAAGCGTAAACCAGTTCCCTCTTATTGTGTTCTTCCCTCTCTAAATTTAGGGATAAGGTTTTCGTCAATTTTGCGATTTGAAAAGAGATTGTATTTGTTTGAAGCAGAGAAACATGGCAAAATCCTACGAGCGATCCAGAACTACTATAAATGATTTAGGAGATGATATTTTGGAGAATATCATGGAGCGCTTGCCGTTCAAATCCTTCATGTCGGCGGCCGATGTTAGCAGGCGCTGGAAGAAAGTATGCACATGCATTCTTTCGTATCCTAGATTCTCCTCTGCCGTGTCTTTTAATCCCATCCTTGAGGTAATTCTAATTTTCCCTATTTCGTTGTTCTGTTGCTCTTGGATTTTTGTTTCTATCTTGCATCTGCAACTTACAATATTAACACCTAATTTATTAATTTTCTTTGAAATTGTGATTTTGTTGGTTGTTAGGGTTTTAAGGTTTAGGTCTTTGTTTCTTGGCTGTATGCAGCAAAATTATAATGTCATTTTATATTGGTAGGGAGCTGTGGATGAAGTTGTCGACAAGATTTTGTCGAAACCGATCTCCCCTCAGTTTGTACTGGTCTCTGTTTGTCCCTGTTTTAATTTGAAAGATGTTCTTCGACTAGTATGGTTTCTTGTTTTCCTTACACATATATATGGATGTTAGGTTGTGTATTACTTTCTATGATTGGATGATTATTCTGTGCAGATACAAGATAAATTGGGTTCCGATATCCCTATAATTCTCAATGTGGTTGAGGGACTCATTGGCAGGGATGCTCTGACAAATGATTTTAACGAGGTAATTTCTTATGTTAGTAAATGAACTATCATAATCAAATGTCGTTTTCTTTTATGATTCTGTACTTGTTCAATATCTTATGTTAGTAAATGAAATAATCAAATGTCGTTTTCTTGTATGAGTCTGTACTTGTTCCTTGATCTAGTACGGTGAAAAATCTCAGTTGTTTTTACTACTTGAAAGGAAGTATACTTCCTATAATGTCGTAAATCATTCCTATAACCACTGATGAAGAAATGTTGAACATTTAGTGAAAGCAAAATAAAGAAAAATACTGTTTATAATCAGTAGAGCTTATATTTATTTTGTTCTTTGGGATTTGCTTCTCAACGACATTTTATTTCATTTTGTATTTGTTCTTAAACTAATAGCTTATGCTAGTAGTGTCAGAAACATTAACTAAGAAAAGAATATCATTTTCTACATTACCAAAAGACTTATTTCGTATCTTCTTGGGACGAGTAATAATCAGCGAGTACATACTTATGCTGTTGTTAGTCTTTTTCTTAGATTCGCTACTTGTTCCGTGTTCTAGTGGTGAAATATGACCTCATTAAGATATTTAATTAACCAGCTTGATATTTAATTAGACGGTAAATGCGTTTTTTCCGAGTTTGTGAATACTATGTGATACGTCTGAGTTATTGGTCTAGGTACAATGGCAAGCACTCAAGGAAGTGTCTGGGGGCATTATGTTAACAGTTGGGCGCTTGCCGGGACTGAAGGCCCGTGTAATTCCTTTACTTCGACGAAAGGTAAACGTAAATTACATTGCTTTCTAGGGCAAAATAGGTTTTTGTGGCAAATGGATTTCATTTCAATGTCTGAATGGAATGTAGTGGATAAACTGCCCATTTGCTGTTATTACAAACTTTTTTGTGTTGTATATTGTAGAGATGAGAAAGTAATTTCGTTTTATGCTATTGATCAATTGATAGTTGAATAATTTTTTTCTCTATTATTGAAATACTGACCCTTTGGCATTGGCATGGCAGTTTCAGGGAGATCAAAGCCTTCTTCTTGATCAATTTGTTACGGATATCAGAGAAGCAACACTCGCTGATTCAGATTGTACATCACCTGCTGGAATCATATTGTTTGCTGTGAGTTACATAATCTTGTCATTTTTTCTTTTCTTTTAGTATTCCGAACAATTGTTTTGGGGCTTCTGTCTTCTTCGACTTCTGAGTCGAATTCCTTGAACTTTTTCCTAGTTTTGGAATCTCTCTTCCTGTATCGGTTTAGCAAAAACTACTCTCTTGTTATTATGTGGTTGGGTTAAAAGTTTGCAGAAAGTTCGTATTTCGTCCGTTATTGTCCCAAAATAAAAGTAGGCACTCTTAACTGTGCATTGACCATTGGCATTTGTGATGCATGTATTTAGGAGCTGCCATTTTTGGTTATTTCTAAGGTTTTTAGATACTAGTTACATTTCCGTCGGTTTATTTGTTCTTGTCGCTTCGTATATTTGAACTGATTGGTGTGGTAGGACGGGAGAAGGGACATCGAACCTGTTCTTCAAAAAATCGGTAAGTAAACTATGTCTAGACATTGTTCTTTTGGAAACATGTGGAATGAAGTCCAACAAAGGAGTAACAAAAAAAAATATTTTTTTTTCTGTTTTTATATAAATCGAGATGTATTTTAACTTGTTTTTTTTTTGTTATTTTTACTTAGGATGTGCTTTTCCTGAGGATACTGTCGTTGTGGGAGATGGAAGTAGTCGAGAACTAATGTGTGGGAGTTATAACTGGCCGAAAAACTCCCCATATACTCCAGTTGCAATAGCCTTAGTATTGACTAAGGATACGAGCCAACCATTAGGTATGAGCAAAATTTTCGAAACTGTCTCAATCCTTTTCCGTTTCCAAGATTAATAGTGTTTTGTATTTGTACTTGTGTACAGATTTTGGTCAGACACAATTTAGGGTTATGGTATCAACTGCCACGTCACCAGTTGGTACGATGAAAAAGAGCAGCTGCGTTGTTTTCGGCGGATTTGTATTCTGCTCAAAGTATCGTGCGCAATCGAGTGACAATTCCACCTTTTTAACTTCTTTCCCAGAGGTTGGTTTCGGTGGAATCTACTGTTCGAAGGAAGTAGGCAATGGCATATTGCATTATTGCAGTTGCGTTTATCTTCTCATCTTCAGTCCATTAAAATAGGAATATAGTGATAGTTATACTCTGTACATTTGGTGGTTATATACGTAATGACGGTAGCTATGGACTAATATTCTGTGTAAATTTGGAGATTTGAGAAACGGATATGACCGTAGCAATGGACTTATATTCTGTGTAAATTTGGAGATTTGAGAAACGGATTTGACCGTAGCTATGGACTTATACTGTGCAATAACAGGAAAATATTGAATAGCTTTTATTACAATTTCTTTTTGTGTTGTACATAGGGCTCGGAATCGGGCCATGCGAGCCGAGCTTTGGTCGGCTTAATCTCACGTACCATATGGCCTCGTTACTATAGGCTAACGCTCACATAACATCGGGCCTCATTAGTATAAGCCCAAGCTCGGCTCATGTATTTTTTCGGGTTTCGGGTTTATATCGGGCCCCGTTACTATATAACTGTAATGAGTAAAAAAAATTATAAAAATAAGCGATAAACAAGATTTTCCTCCATTGAAATCAATCCAAAAAAAATCTTAGACGATCTTTGCAAGTTATTGGAAAAACTTGAAAATAAGACTGAAAGAGGTTAAAAAAAAAGATTAGTAACTCTTATTATTGGAAACATTTTATATTCTCAAAATGCGGTGGTATGTTGCATTCGATCCATATTTAACTCATTGTCAACGCCACTACTTAATTTCTTTTATTTTGACTTTTTTTCTTTTCACAATCAAATAATCTTATACGGTCGTAACTTGTATGTTGAGTCATAGCATTAAATAATAAATATATTATATATTTTATTATTAAGCTAACTGGTCGGGCCTTATTCGGGTTGAGCCATATAGGCTCAAACTCGGCTCATAAATAAATCGAGTATAGTAAAATAGCTCAAACTCGGTCCGGCTCACTAAAAAGTAGGCTCGGCTCAAATATAATCCGGGCGAGCCATCGGGCTTTGGTTAGGCCCGACTCAATTGCCGGTCCTATTTGTAGATTGTAGAGATAATAAGAGGTTTTAGCACTCGCTACCCCTATGTAATCTCTAATTGCTACAAAAACCCTCATGTTAAAAATATTAGCAAGAACACCCCTACGAAACTAAGTCAAAGCCAAAAAGACCCTTCCGAGGTGATCGTGCAATACACTTGCCATTTATGCGACTAGGGGTGTGTTTTTTACATGAAAAAACCAAAATACCCTTTAAATTCAAAATTCAAAAATTACAGATTCGCCCTATAATTTTATAAGCCCCAAGAGGAAGTGTTTAAAATTTTCAACTCAGTCCCTCATATTTTCTGAAAAGCCCTCTTCAACATCAAGATGAGGGTTTTCCTTTCCGTCGAGCCTCTCCAGCGATGGCCTCAAAGGGTCCCCACGTAATTGGTAAGGAATTCGGAAACCATCTCGCAGTTTGATTCGCGGATTTTCGGAATCGCCGCCGCCGGATAATTAATCGGGAAGTGACGATGACAACTTTTTTTTTTATCTTTTATTTTCCTTTTTTTTTCCTCTTCTCATATATTATTTATGTATTTTTTTTAATTGAAATATTATGAAAAATCCAGTAGGGGTAGTTTTGTCATTTCAATTAAGTCAAAACCCAAATCCCACAAAAGGAACGGTGGGCTAAATAAATCATAACATAGGGGGATCGTTGCTAAATTTTTTAACATGAGGGCTTTTCCGACAATTAGAGATTACACAGGGGTCTGTGCTAATAGATCGAGATAATAAAGGGGTGTGCACGAGTCGGTACGGCTCGGTTTTTGCAATAAACCAAACATGTACCGATAATATCGGTTTTTCATATTTTAAGAACCGAAGAAGTTGGGTTTTTTCGGTTCGGTGTTAATCGGTTTTTCGATTGTCGGTTAACGGTTTCGGTATCAATTCAGTTTATTTTTGGTTTCGGTTTCATCTATAGGTTCGGCATGAAACCGTTATTTGATTAACAGTGAGTTTGGACTTTCTTTACATTTGTTTGAGAAAATTAACAAATAACAACCCAAAATTAACTAATAAAAAACATGTCACAACCCAAAATTAACTAATAAAAAACATGTCACATGGATGCGTTCGAAGGATAGAGGCGCTCTAGGGGAAGACGGTAAATATTTATACTATATATCAAAACAACGTCATTTTGTATAATCGGTTCAGTTCGGGTAATCGGTTCGGTAATTTTTTAATTCTCCATGCACAAACCGATATTTTCGGTTTTTCAAATTTTTTTTACCGTATATGCGGTTTTAAGTCGCGACGGTGCATATCGGCTCGGTTTTTTTGGTTTTCAATTACTCGGTTTTTTTGGTAAATATTTATACTATATATCAAATCGACGTTGTTTTGTATAAATCGGTTATGTTCGGGTAATAGGTTCGGTAATTTTTTTATTCTCCATACACAAACCAATATTTTCATTTTTTCAAAAAAAAATTACCATATGTGCATTTATAAGTCGGGACGGTGCATATCGGCTCGGTTTTTTCGGTTTTCGGTTTTTCTGTTTGACCATTTTTTTGCCCACCCCTAATAAAATAAGGGCACTTTACAAATAAGCCCATCAGTGGGTACTTATTCATAAAGAGTTCCAGACAATAAACTCTTTTACAAAAAAATCCACACATGGTCCAGAGGTTTGTAAAAGACTAAAATAGCCCCTCATACTTTAATATGCTCCAATTTCATTCTTTAGTCTAATTAAACCTCAATTTGACCCTAAATTTCAAAAATTATTCACTTTTGACCCAAAACACATTTTTATGGACAATTTCGTCCGTCACTGCCGTTGAGTTTTTTTTTCTTCCTGATTTTTCTGCAACCGGTTTCCGGCGTTGACTTTTTTGATTTGTTTTCTTTAACATCTTTTTACCCCCCGTTTAAACAACAATATTGTTGTGGTTGACAGTACTATTAACTATATTACTGTTAAACACAGTAAAATTAACTATACTACAGTTTAACAGATTAATATTGCTATATTAATCTCTAGCACAGTAATATTAACATAACAAAAGTTATTATTATTGTGTAATATAGTAATATTAATATGTTGACCGTTCAACAAAGGTAAACATAATAAAAAGCCAAAAACATTAATGTTACTCTGAGTGACAATAATATTACTATAACAACAGTAATATTACCGTTCAACCACAGTAATATTATTGTGTTTACAGTAATATTAGAATAATAGACAGTAATAGTATTATGTTACTCCGTGAATAACTCAAACAAAACAAAAAAACCCAAAAAAATAATAATATTGACGTTGTTGACAGTAATATTTTTACAGTTATTTTACTGTCAACGACAGTAATATAATTACGTTGACTTGTCAACAAATCAAACAAAATAAAAAAATAATAATAATAATATTGTCTTTGACTCTAATATAATTGAACTGTCAACGGCAGTACAATTACATAAATAAATTGTCAACGGCAGTACAATTACGTTAATGTATTGTCAGTGAAAATATAATTATGTTAATTTACTGTCAATGACAGTATAATTACCGTTAATGACATCACAATTACGGTCAACGTTTAGCGGTGGGCGGAAAAAGAAAAAAAAACACTAAAAAAAGTCAACACCAGAGTCCGGCGGCGGAAAAAAAGACTTAAAAAAAAATTGAAAAGTCAATGCCGGAAACCGGCGGCAAAAAAATAATTTCTAAATTTAAAAGAAAAAGAAGTCAAAATTGATTAAATTTGGGTTACAATTAAGAATTGGGTATGAAAGGTTGGGGGTAATTTTTTGTCATATACATGAATTTTTCCTTTATTTATAATAAATATTAAATGGATGGGCTTATAGGCGAAAGAGATATAATACCTAAACCTAGAATAATAAAGATGGTTAGTTAGGGACTTATGCACAAAAACCCCTAAAATAATTTTGTTCTATGCTATTGATTAATCAATAGTTGAATAGTTTTTTGCTCTATCATTGAAATAATGACCTTTGGCCAGGCCCGACCCTAGGCTATAGGCAACGTAGGCATATGCCTAGGGCCCCCAACTTATTAGTATTATAATTAGGGCCCCCAAAAGTATGTTTTACTATAATTAGGACCCCAAATAGAAACTAAAATTTATATTTACTTATATAAATAAAAAATATTAATATATAGCCTGGATTTTGTATATAAAAAAATATTTATAATTTTAATACGCGTATTTAAACTATAATAAAAATATCTAAAAGTATTTAATTTATATTAAAAAATAATATAAATGGCCCCAAATTTGTTTTTTTGCTTAGGGCCCCATATGGGCTTGAGCCTGCCCCGCCTTTGGCAATTAGCGTTGCAGTTTCAGGGAGACAACTATTCGAAGGAAGTAGGCAATGGTATATATGGACAGGGCCGGCCCTAGGTTATTGGGGGCCCTAGGCGAAACAAAAAAACGGGGCCCTTTAATTATCAAAAAATATTATTTTAAATTTATTTTTCGTGCTTTAATAGATGAAAATCTATTAATTAAATCTTCATATTCTAGTTCTTCTAACAATTCTTTTTCAATAGATAAAATAGCCAATCCACTTAATATTTCTTGGAACATAGTTGAACGTAAATATGTTTTTATTAATTTTAATTTTGAAAAACTTCTTTCGGCCGAAGCAACGGTTATAGGTATAGTAAATATTATTCAATAACTAATACACGTATTTGGATAAGAATCAATTACTTTGATATGATTAAGTATATCAATGGGTTTTTCTATTTCACTAGGTATGGCTTTTGTTAACACTTTTAGTTCATAATATAAATCAAAACCATCGATATCGGACATTGAGTTGTGTTTTAAGAAAGCTTCAAGACTAATACAACTTTCTTTCAAAGTGTTGTCATCTAAAGACTTCAAAGCTTTTATACTTAATAAAAATCCAAAAGTATTTTGATAAAATTTAAATTGGTCGAATCTAACTTTAATTGAAGAAATAGCTTGATCTACAATATATAAGAAATACTCTATTCCAAATGACTACTCGGGTGATAATATAGGATGATTATTTTGGTTTTCATCAAATTTTCTTTTTCTACGAATCACGCGTTTTTCGCAAAATATTGGTTCAATTCCCATTTTCAAGGCAATTGTTTTGGTAATATTAATAGCAGTTTCAAACCCATTGACTCTAAAATCCTCTAAAAATGATACGAGACCTTCCAATTGTTCTATGGCATAATCAATGTGCACATCTTTAGATTGTAAATTTTTTCTAACACAATTAACAACATATCGTAACTCAAACCAAATATTCATGCC